AGTCGACAGGCAGATCGATTCGCGAGCCCACCGTAGCCCGGCTAACGATAACCGCTTTTGGAACGCGTGAAAATTCGAGGCCACAGGGACTTAATCGCTACCGAGTAGCAGACTCCTATAGGGAGACCACGAAACGCGATAGTGAATTGGTAGTGTCTTATGTTCTGATCAGTTTGCGGTCTAGGGGTAAATTTAGAGGAATTTTTTATTCCTTGAGTTTTGAAGTACTCGAATAGTCTATTTTGGGTGTTCCAAGTAAACGAATTCTTGAGCATTTGTCTATATATATAAGTAGACGAGTATATGAGTACTGTAAGTTTAGCATATTTAATTGGTGTATCTACTATTTGAGTCAACGAATAATAAAATAGCAGATTATTCGAGTAGCCATGTAAGTACATGCGTGAGTAATTAAGTACTCAAGCAGTTCACCAGTTTAGACCAATTGATCATGAGTACTTGAACCCTTGAGTACCTGGATAATTAAGTACTCAGATATTCGACTATTTATACATTTGATTCTATGATAATAATATGCATTTAATAGTTATCCTGGTACTTCTATGTTTGAATAAAATCCATATGGAGTTCCATTTAACCTTCGTGACCCTAATAAATATATTCATCCGCTCGTGTATAGTGGATTCCATTAATCAGAAATAGAAGTCGAATTAGCGGGTCATGTTACAACGTTACACCGGGCAAAGAGCAACTAGGAAGTTTCGTGGCCCGATACGAAACGCATAAATCATCGACGATCCACGTAATCAGCGTCGCGTGGCACTCATTGACGGATCGGGGACATTAGTGACAGTGTAACGCGACGCGAAGGAATTATTGGCGATTAACGGAAAGTACCGGGAACCGATGTGTCTTGGTAGGCCGGTGGGACGCGCTCGTTATACCAGGACCGATAATTTCGCCGTAGGCCAACCAATCAATTATCAAGATTAATCGCGGCACGCTCGATAATTCGCAAACGGTCCACTTTATTTGCCCAACAATTTATTAATAATCCAAGAGAACCTCTGCTCACCTCGCATTGGCTCTTCGTATAATAATAATCCGATCCTTCATTCTCTTCTTAACCAATTTCCATTATCAACTAAACAGATTATTATCATTATGGTTACTAATCATAGATATATAAATTTATACGAGCAAACTTTCTGTCATGTACATTAACGATACTTACATGATTTCTATACCATTATGTATCAATTATAGTTACATCCATGGGGATACAGATTCTTATTACCTCCTGTAGAAATCTCCATAATCATTGTTACTGCTATTGCAATTGTTGTTCCAGTTTATTACTGAAAAAAACAAGTTACGATATACCGCTCGTTAAACCTAACCTATAAACACAAGATTACCAAAAGTAACCTCGACCGAGTCGTCAAACCTATACTTCATCTCCCCAACTTTTACATCCTCGTAGAAGAACAAAGCTGTCCTCAAACCTGTCTCACTTTCCAATAAAGAATCGTTCTTTCCATCTATTACAACCGACTGCCAAAACCGCCGTGTAGACCCATATAGCAACTGTCGTAAACGCTACCGTAACCTCCTGGTTAGATTAGTATGTAGGAATCTACATACGTCACACATGTACGGTTTGCTCGCGTAAGTATGGGAATATCCTCATTTCGCGAAGTGGAACGTCACTCGAGCCGGACAGAAGGCAACACGAACGACACGCGTGGACAAACGGGAAGCTCGTTCAGGCGGGAAACGCGCTGTCGTTTAAAAATCGGTACCGAATAAACGATGCGTTGACGACGGTTTCGTTTTTCGTCTCGTTATTTCTTCGAATATTCTCGGTCCCCGTGGATCCTCGCGTTTAATAAAGCATCGGGGTTTCGTTCATTCGACAGGATATTCGATTTTTCTTCGTTTTCGCTGCACGGAAAAATTGTTCCTCCGTCCTCCTTTCATTCGTACTACTTGTTCAGCAATTCGCGCGTGATGGTGGGGCGCGTGTGCGTGCGAACGGAAAACATCGATATCACGAAAACGTCGAGCGACGTAGGGACCAATAAAGCCGGAAACTCAGCCTCGGATTATTTACGTTCGGAGCCGCTTTATTATAATTTATCGACGATCCGCGACGCGGTGATTTGTTTAACGCCGACGGGGCTTTGGGCTTCCGGTATCCGGTTTAGAGTACTGCGCAAGGTAATTAAGTTCCATTTGGTCTTATATCTATAAAACTGGCAGAAATCTACTCTCCAGTTGAGGGGTATATATAATTTGAAGGAAATTAAAAGAATCGAAGAAGAGTGGATGAAGCGAAAAGGAAGATGAGATGTATTCAACGAGTGGAAAATGGTATTTAAATGGCTTCCATTGTCTAGGGTATGGAATATCTATAAGCAATTGAAAGCTCGAGGAATTAACACTAAAACTATTACAAAGACCGATCCAATTATATTTGCTTTTGTAGTCACTGAAAACGTGTAAATACCATTGGTAAAATTAATTTTTAATTTCGTAAAGATAGAAATATAATTGCACATACATATTTTATCTTATTTTTCAATTGTAATTAAAATTTAATTTAATTATTAAATGATTTATTTCACGCGAATTTTCCAACCTTTTAAGGTAAAATAATTTAATTATTAATCGATGACTGAAATTTATTTCTCGTACATTCACATTAAATAATAAAAAGAAAGGGAATTTCAATGACTATTATACCAAAAATTCGACCGATTCGCTTCTCTTCGATTCCCTTTCACGACGAGCGAGTTACTGGAGCAAGTTGGAGGGAAAAATCTGGAAAGCGAAGAGAAAAGACGGTAAACAATTTCAACAGCAGGGTCCTTGATAGTCACGGCCCTTTCCAGCCGTAATTCCTCGAATACGATCCATAATTCGACGGAACAAGGCTCCAGGGGGAAGGGTTGCGCTCCTGCTAAAAACTCGCCCCTTGGGAGAAACGATTCTACGTGATATCGCCGGAACTTTCGACTTCCGCCGATCTTTACGACGCTGTCGAACGGCCGATGGGAGCTTATAGTCGATTAAGTAATTAATATCGTGCACTCGCGAGAGCGCGCTCGATCAGGCATTCCTTCCTTTTTATAGTCGTCGCGCGTTCAACTTTGCGCGCTGTGACTGATGACCGCTGATGCCGGGGGTTTAATTAAAATGCTAGGGGCTACTGGATGATATAAAATGTTACCGAACTGTGAATAAGATGAGGTCCCTTTTTCACCTGGAATTTTTTCGGTTAAGCTTTTTCCACGGTTTTTTAACTTTTGCCTCGGTTAAGTTTCAAGGAACTGAAAAAGCGGGGAATGTTTATGAAGGTGCTTCCTCGGACGGGAGTTTAAAAATTCGCTGGATTAATCTTGTATCAGGTTTGAGTTGCAGTGTATACGTGATCGTTAGAAGGTACATAAGTATACTTGGTGATGAGGGATCGAAGAAAGTATCGGTACTTTTTCATCCCCTATGAGAAGATAGATTGGTTGGTCGGTTCGTTCGTCAATGAGTAACGTATTATGGGGGGTTTCGCACTCAGATTTGTTTACACTAAGAGAATATTTCGAATTTTCTTTTAGCGAAATTAATAAAAATTGTGGAAATTAAATAGTGCTCTTAAAAACGAGTTCGAATGGCTGACGTGATTCCGGATCATTTGATTATCGAAAACGAAAAAACCAAAAGGCATCTTAATTAGAATAAATACGATTATAGCATGTGCTACCAGACCAGCGAAATTTTGAAAATTAAAAAAATGACAGCATTTTGTAGTTTAAATACCGATTTTCTTCGTGCTTTTCGTCATTTGGGTGGTAAAAAAATTAGTAAAAATCATTAGATTTTTAAATCCATGATACACGCGATAAAGGTACATTCGACGAAGGTCTCCTCTAAATTTGGGATCAATCAGTCAACTATAACGCGAGATATCTCGTCAGCCAGTTCGAAAAATATAGTTTCGAGAAAAACGCGTTTAAAGTTTTTGTTACCCGTTGTATAATGCCTGTAAACCGCACTTTGAACATCTATAACTTCGATATTTTTACGAATTCAGAGAAATCCTTTCACATGAACATTTTTGAAAGCATACTCTTGGAGAAAATGTAAGAAAAAAAAAATCGATTTTCTTAAACCGGATTACAACAATACTCCCTTAATATAAAAATAATTTGATATTTTAAAATCGTTTTGATATATTCTTTGGATACTTTGCTGAATTTATTTTTTTTTTTTTAGAAATGTACGTGGCGGATATTTATGTATATATAGAGATAGGATATCATGTGCAACAGGTTGTTTAAAAATGATTGCAGTGATCACCAAATTGTGGTACGCGAAGTGGGAGTTCACTCGCGTTAAGTTTATGTTAAATACGATTTATACATTAATTAACTTTATATTAACGCGATGTAAGTTGAAAGTTCTACTGTGCATATTTTTCACGCAGTATTTCGTATCCTTATTAATGCATCATTTTATTCTACCACGCCACCATTACTTTGCTACGGGGCAATCCATTTAGATTAGTTCTTTGCGTTTCCATTAGGATAAAAATACTGCGATCAATCCCAACTGGTTTTTCTCATCCTTTTTCCCCTACTTTCTTTTATCCGAGTAAGAATAAAATTTTTTACAATAAATAGCTGAAGGTTCTGTGACAGATCTCTAAAAATTCTATAACAAATTCCCAAAAATTCCGTGACAGATCCCTAGATAAATCCTAAAATTAAATTTTCAATAAGAAAAATTAACCTTAAGTACTATATTATACAAACTAAATATCTTTTATTCACCTTATCTATTGTGCTGTAAATCGATTAAAGATATAAATCAAAAATATAAGAAATAAAATAGCAAAAGATTGGATACATTAGGTTTCATGAGAAGCTTTCAAATGTTCCCTGCAGAACGTTGAAAATTTTTCTTTTTATTTTTTCTTCTTTTTATTTTTGAACGAAATCCAAAGATGATGATGAAAGAAATAGTGGCGATTCGGTTCACAGGTTACGGGAACATTTGTCCAAAGACGAAATGGGGCAAAGTGGTGACCATAGTGTACGCCATAATAGGCCTGCCACTTTTCTTGCTTTATCTGAGCAACATCGGTGACATTCTCGCGAAGAGCTTCAAATGGACCTACGCCCGCTGCTGTCTGTGCAAGTAAGTCCCGTCTGATTCTTCTTATTTCATCCATTTCTGCTTTCGATGGATCGTTACGGAAACGTTAGAACTCGAGCGGAAGAACCACTGTTATTCCGGTACACGACGATTAACGAAATTCGAAAGGAAAATCCATTTTTCTCCTAAATTCACAGAACAATATTTTTCTACTTAAAAACAGGCTGAAAGAACCACTGTCGCTGTCAATATACGAGATGTTAAGGAAATTTCGACAGTAATTCTATTTCTACCTAGACCCAGAAAATTATATTTCTTCCACCCTTCATTAAAAAAAAAGAAAAAAAAAAAAATGAGAATTAACAAAATTCGAGAGATCCACTTTTTTGACAAATTCTTTTTTCGACAGGAAATTGCACTTTTTTCCTTTAAAGGAATATTTTTCTTTTCGACTTTTTTCTTGAAGGTGTCGCAGAAGACCAGTAGAAGTACCGCCTAGGGGAAGTATACAGGATGGCGCCGAAATAAGAAGAAATCATTGGCAAGTAAGTTTCGGGGTTCAAACTTCATCAGTATTGATCTACGAATTAACCCGGACAGTTTTCCCTTAATGTTGAAAATCTTCAATTCGCGAGAAAATCTTAATTTCGTGTTATATAACTATACCCAAAATCGATGTTGATAAAATTCATATAACTCCTTAGCTTAATTTCTGATAAAATCGCTATACGTGATTAATGTAAGGATTTATCGCTAACACGAATTTCAAGACCTTATATTCCAAGGAATATAAGATCTATGTGGATCGATTTAAGGAGAGTAGAATTTTGCAATAGTATAAGAAAGTTCGTCGACAGATGGTTGACAGGGATGGAGAGGAGATCGACTCGGTCAATGTGAACAAGGAAATCTCCATGGAAAATGATAGAGTAAAAGACGAAGGTGACGACGACAGTAGCAGCTATGACCCACAACGTGTCACAGTGCCTCTGACCCTCTGCGTCGCCATAATGGTCGGGTGAGTATCATCAACACAATTACACATATTTTTAGACAGACAAAAATCCACCACGTTCCTTAAAATTATATTACATTACGTGAAATTTCGTAATAAAAGAATTATTACAATTTTTCACGAATAGTGAAAAATTCACTATAAATACATCTTGAAATTATAACCTAATAACTAAGTATAATAATTAAACGAGAACGAGTTTAATAATTGAAGAATTTTATTAAACACGTTTTTTCCAAACTTTTATTTAATCCCTCATAATTCTCAGATGTTTAAATATTTTGAAAAATATTTCTCTACATACTTTTCTTCTTTTTACCATAAACATCGCCGTAAATTTTTGCTTCCACTATAATTCCACTTCTGTAGCTACATTCATGTGTTTGTCAGAGACCTAATTATAAACAGCATAATATATAATTCCGATCATGCAATTACATATGTCATTAACGATAATTACACTGTTCAACACGAATTATAGAAAAGATTAAAATTTGTTGTGCAGTGTTAATAATGTATAATATAATTCGAGCGAAATGTTTTGTCGTCAAATTATCTGAAATAGGTAAGTCATCGTAGCAATATATGAATTTATGAACGATCACTATAGATATTATACCCACGACATTTTTTAACTCTGCACGCGAAATTAAATCGTTCATAATTTTCCTACCATCATTATAATTTCCACAAAATTAATATTTTCGAATAAAACTTCCAAATTCTCTGAATCGCTGGAAAATAAATTACCAAAACTTTCTTAATATCGCTTCTTAACCAGTTTATAGTATATCGATGAAATCTTTAATATTATTATTATCCAACAAATATTCAATTTAGTCAGAGGTAAGGTAGAATAATCTGCGAATACCTTCATCGATCCCCAATAGTGGAGCGCGATTTTAAGGGGAGAAATCGCGATTACGAATGACTGCGTCATTTCGAGGGACTTTGCAGGTACATCTGGGGCGGAGCCATCTTGTTCTCCGAATGGGAGGACTGGAACATGTTGGACGGTTCTTATTTCTGCTTCGTCTCCCTGTCGACCATAGGTTTCGGCGACATCGTGCCGGGCGACAAAATCTACGCTGCCCAGGGCCTCGATCTATCCTTCATCTTCTGCTCCATGTACCTGATGCTCGGTGAGTGGCGACCGATCTCGCAGTTTTATCGGTTTTGACGTTTAATGTTTCCAATTTTCCACAGAAATCCATTTTTATCTGCTAAAATTTCATTTCGCACGCTCGACTTATTCCTCCAATTTCTTCGCTCGACCAGCGGCAAAAAATCACCCTGTATATATCATGTTTTCAGGATGCGAATTTTTCAAGCGATTCTTCTCACTTTTGAAAACGAACAACCATCTGTGAGAACTTCATTGTACGCTTCCGACCTATTTCGTCACGAAGAAACATCCCTTCCACGGTTCTCTAGCCACAGTGGACCAAGCTGCGTATAGACCCTTGGCCCACAGCGTGTGTCTCATCCGTAACCCTATGTGGGTTGATGATTCGTGAAAGGGTTAAACTGTGTCACCGTGGCGAAATCGTAACGGGAGTTAATGCACGCGACTTAATAGTCCTATTCAGGCTGGTTTCCAAGCACGTGGCTGGCGACACGACAACGAGCGACCCGTTCAATAGCGTTCCCGCTGATCCGATTCATTGAACGAATAATGTAATCCAAGCTCGGAGAAACTGTGCCCCATTTTATCCTATAAATAAACGCATTAGGATCGATCGATTTCGATCTACAAATTGATTCCGACAGGGACGCCTTGTTCCACGTGATTTATCATTATTCCCTTCGATTATATTGAAAACAGAGTCTGGCACTGTTACTTGTTTCAGCTGGTTTCCGATCCAGTTGCTTTCGTGATTGATAGACTATAATGATCTTTTTCCTTTCCTATTTTTAACTTGTTCCTTTATTTCTCATTATTCTTTTAATGGTAGTATTTATTTTGGACATCGAGTCGGCCTTATAATTATTTTTACTACTTGGAATATTGGGATCTAACGTTAGAATGGTTGGACACTTAATTTATTCGTACTTATCGTGTAAGTAATTCTCTGCTTTGTTGAGAAACGTAAATCGAGAAACTGTAGAATTTGTTTATTAAAAGATCCATGATCTTGTTATTCTAATTAGATTTCCTGTAATTTGTTTAATAGTTTAGAAAATGATGTAATTGTGATAATATAATGGTGTCTATTTTGATGAATATGATCCCAGTATTTCGTTCAATGATTTTCGCAACGTTCTCTCTTTTCTCTCGCGTTATAATGATTCAATCATCCTGACAGAAAAGTCTTTTGAGCCCCCATCCCTCGTTACGGTACTCAATAATTTCGCTTTACGCCGTGAAACTGTCGCCGCATGGAAACCAGCCTTTAAATCCTAAAAGCCTCGTGGAAAAGCCACGAAAAGGAAGGAAAAATAAAATCGTCGATTCCATCGATCAGAAACTATCGATGCACGAAACACCAATGCGCATACGTGCACGCAAGTTTTTACTGGACGAACACCGAAACAGGCGTCGTAATTGTTTCTTTGGCAAAGCGACAATTGGATAGCCGCGGATTTCCGGTGGAATACGATGTCACGTGGACAGACTTGATCGTTTTCAAAGAGCTCGACAGCTTTAATTCGTCCAACTGTACGAAATATCTACTTCAAACACTATCTCTTCACCGGTTAAATTCCCACAGGAATGCAACGTCCCGCATAAATATGATATTGGATACAGGCATAGAAAAAGAGAAAAGAAATTGGAATTATTGTGAGTTATCGTATAACAAATTACCGTTGCATTCCTCTCGGTACACTCGTTAATTTTAATTCGCGAAATTTTCGTTTCAATTTCTCTAGCTGGAATTATTCCAAAGAAACTTTCGCGGTCATTCGTTGATTTTCCATGATTTTAATTTTTTAATTTCGGCTGTCATAATATTTCGAAAGAATTATGCACAGAGAATTTTATACACGGAAATTCGTATATATAGAGAATTGTATAGGAAACCCTATCGTGTAGGAAATTTTACGTGTAGAGGATTATATCATATGGAATTCTATATATTACTGCCTATTGTATCTGTAAAGAATTTTGTCTGGAAAATTCTGTGCACAAGAATTATCTATAGAAAATTCTCTATGTAAAGAATTTTCTATAAAACAATTTCATATATAGAGAATTTCATATGCAAATGATTTTCTACACAAGAATTATAAAGAAGGAATTCTATATAGGGGAAATTTTATATCTAAAGAATTCTCTATGAAAGAATTATATATAGGAAATTTTATATAGGAAGAATCTTATATCTAAAGAATTCTATATATGTCGCGTATTCTACCTGTAAGGAATTTTATATCTAAAAAATTCCCTATGATAGAATTATATATAGAAAATTTTGTATAGGGGAAATTTTATATCTGAAGAATTCTCTATGAAAGAATTATATATAGGAAATTTTATATAGGAAGAATTCCCTATGAAAGAATTATATATAGGAAATTTTATATAGAAAGAATTGTATATCTAAAGAATTCTATATATGTCGCATATTCTACCTGTAAGGAATTTTATATCCAAAGAATTCCCTATGAAAGAATTACATATAGGGAATTGTATACACACAAAACCCCATACGTAAAACATTGTATACACAGAATAATTCCCTATACGAGAATAAAATATAGGGAACTCTACGTATAAGAGTTCAATATAAAATCATATACAGAACGACAAGAGTTACTCGGGAATACAGATCTCTGGTTCCTAAAATTCGCCGGTTCTTCAATGCTACCACGGCCGTGGCGTGCACTTCCAACGTGGTTAATGAATCGGGGAACCAAAGTGTCGCGAAACGTGTCAAGGGTCAGGGAGGATCGATCGCGTTTTAGCCGTGCGCCACTTTGTACGAGACCAGACAAAAGTTTGACAACCGTCCCCAATTTCTTCCCCTCTCGCTTTCCATGTCGTACACCCTGTGTATCGCTGCCGATCGCAGCGGGGAAACTCGATTTTTCGATTGGCATTTACGCGACGATGGAAACGAGCCTCGAGCCTTTGAAGCGCCGCTTTTTCGAGTAACGAATCGAATCGATGACCATTTCCTAGCGTCCTGTCCGAGTGTTGGTCTACATCGAGTACACCCGCGATCGAGAATCGTGTAGATATTATTATATTACGATCCTCGAAAAAAGTGCCCCTACCTGCAGATTCTACCATCAAACGAAGAATATTCGCGGCCATTTTACTTTTCCCTTATCACTCCGCATTCTCGTGTTTCGAATTATCTCGGATACGCGCACCGATAAAAGTTGAGAAATTTTCTTGTTCTCCGAGATACACTGAGTAAAAAAACGTATGATAAAATTACGAGAAAATTCGGATTTTAATGAAAGCTCGCGTGGATTTAGATTATAACGAGTTCCACATGGAGCCATTTTTTTATGGCGAGAAATCTTTTCGAGGGTGCCTAATAGACCGCTAAAATTTCGGTATCCTATGGTGCTCTGGAAAAAATGCTTTTCCGAGATTTTATCACGATAGGGTAACAGAGGATTGAAAATTAAAATTAAATATCCTTCGTATATGTTTCGTTGTGTACTGCACTATTACGTTATAGTTAAAAAAGGGAAAAATGCATCGAAAATTCAATAGTTGATTTCGTGTGTTTAAATTGATATTCGAAAAATTATTGTATACGTGTATTGTATACAATGCATACAATGCTCTGCGTACTCACAAAAGATTCAGTATAAATAAAAAATTAATTTCTTAATTCCCTTTTTAATTTTGAATTTTTAATGAAACTCTGTGAGCACACCACACTCTGTGTGGATATCATAAATATCATATGCTTGCATGAAAAATTAAGTAAACCTCGTTAATACACCCTAACAATATTTCATTTTGCACTTAGTATTTCTTCGAATTGCATAATCGAATGTGAAAAATGATAATTAGAAAAAACAAAATTATCTTCGTATTTTGTTAAAAATATAAATAAAAATCTTCCATTCGAGATATTTCTTAGAAAAATAATTCATAAATAAATTACTATAAAAGAGACAGAAACCCTGTACATTAAAATTAAAAACACGTTTCAGACAAGATGCTGAAAAAGAAATTATTGTTCACCGATGTATAAGATCTCATCTCGTGATCCAATTTTTAATTTCAGTATATGCATCTCGAAAAATAAAAAGTGTGCAAAAGAAAACGAGTTCTCGATAGCTCAACTTTCACCACTAAGTGGATAAACGAGATTTATTGGAATGGAAGAGAGATAACACGAGAGATTTATTAATATGGACTTAAAATAATTTGATTGGAAGATTTCTATTAATTATTATTTGCCGGAGATAATCGGGAAATATTAAAACAGTCTTCGATCCCGGGTACTCGTGCATATCTTCGGTGAATTTACATCGGATTGAAACAAAACACGATTTTCCTGCCGATATAATTTCTATTGCGTTTATAATACGATCCTGCAATTTATTGCGTAATTCCATTCGTGGAAAATTCGGTCAATTAACGTGAATTAAATTGCATTCGCAGTGGCGCGGTTGGAAGATAGAGAGAAGGTGTATGCTAATGCAAGATTGACGCGTTTCAGGTATGGCGCTGATCGCGATGTGCTTCAACCTTATGCAGGAGGAAGTGATCGCAAAGGTGCGAGCACTCGTGCGTACCATTAAGTACATATTCCGATGCGACAGGTGACCATAACCGGTCTCAACCTCGTTCTGCGCCTCTGCGACGTTCGGTAAGTCGAATCTTGTCTCGTTTTATTCATGATACACGCGAATTGATCCTGACGCGAGATTGGCTCCTTGAGGAATAGGACACGTCCTAGGGGATCGGAATTTTTCGGAAAACACGCGAAAGGAATGGTGACAGTGTGCCTTTTAGAAAACATGAGATCACGAATCGCTTGAGACTCTTATTTCTTAGTATCGAGCTTTTGTGAACCCATACCGGGATTACTATACGGATCATACATATTGTGAGTTGGGTGGATAGAGATGATTTAATTGGTTAAAATAAGAGCAGAAATTTTGAACATTTGGGGTAATAAATATTGACGGGGGATGTGAAAGAGGGTGGAAGGTTAGAAAAATTAGTTTAGGTGATCGAAGGGGAATGGAAAGACTATTATAAGACAATAGATATCGTTCCCCAAGAATTATCCCTGGGAAAATGATTCTAATTACCAGGTCTCACTACGTGAAGATGAAAGGAATACGAAATAAATAATAAAAGAATATGGAATGAGTATGAAATAAATAAGAGGAACGGAAAAACAGAAGTTGGAGACGACGAAGGCAAAGGTTAGTCTAACGATGATTTGAAAATCGACCTATACTACTGTCCCAAAATTCACGCAAGAAGAAATTTTGATAGAAAGCACAGGTTTTCAATTAAAAATTGTAAATATTGCTCAACAATAAAAATACGTTGTTCTTTCATGTAGCGCTTCATTTTTAATAACCCTGGACTGTCAGCTGTCACACTGTCTATTCTTTTACGATGGCAACACTTTACCACATAAATGGCGCGAAATTTAAATCTTGCATAAAGTTTGGGACACCTTTTAGAAAAGAAAAGAAATATACAAACATACATACACACACACACACACACACACACACATATATATATATATATATATGAATTAGAAATAGTAAAGGAAGCTAATCAACGAACTACATTTGTTAATCTTTATAAATACAATCTTTGTTAGAAACAAGGTATGAACCCTATTTTAATCGATATATCTACGTAAATTATGTCTAAAGTCTAAACAACATAAATTAGAAGAAGATTCCTAATTGATCTCTGCTCCCTAATTTAAGAAATGAAAATCTTAAGATCGCAGCCAATTAGCTCGTATTACTTGCTATATTATTCATAACTGTATCATAGCTATTAGTTATGTATGATATAACTATAGTGATACAATTAGGAATTATATGTCAAATAATACCGATTGCCCAGGTCTCACCACGAGGAGGTGCTGCGAATGGAGACCCACCCTATCCACGACCCATCCTCCCTCCATTCGCGTAAAAATTTACTTAATAAATTTCCTGTTTGATACACGTCTGCAAAACGTTCGATCTTTGATCGCTGTGCAAAAGAATGGCAAAAAGGATTTAAAAGAAAAATCGACGCGAGAAACTAAATCTGAAAATGAAAGATAAATTTATTTTCTTAAACTATATGTATAACTCTATGCAAGACGTTATTTCATTTCTCTGTCAATATTTTGCATTTTCATTGGCACAAAATATAGATAATTAGAAAGACAATATTTCGTTTATGCAACGAGACTTTCTTTGTTTCTATGCATGAAAATGTAGAATAATTGATAATTAAAAAATTAAAAAAGAAAAACCCTCACCAGATGAAACGAAATGTCTTGCAAAGAATTAAATTTATTTTACTAACTTAATACTAGTTAATACTACTTATTACTAATTATATATAAACTTAATTACTAATATGCTTAACTACTTTTACTTAACCTTAATACTATCTAACTAAAAATGTTATATTACTTAAATATTAATATGGCTAACATTATAGTGTAAGTCTCTGCTTACATATTAATTTCTTATTTAAGTACTAAGATCTTAACTTACAAGTATATTACTTAAACATAAACCTTACTTAGTTTAAAAATAGCCTACCTGACTAAAAGTCTAATTTGTCCTACCTAACTACAAGTCTAATTCATCCTCCCTAACTAAAAATCTAATTCATCCTACCTAGATAAATATCTAATTGTAATGAAGAAACGAGAAAATACCATGTGACTGCTTTTCATTTGTGGTCCATAAGAATTCCTGAAACAAATTTTGTAAATCCTACTTAAATAAAAATTCGAATTATTTTTTATACGTCATAATATATGTATAAAACCTGGGGGCAGGGGGTTATATATACCTCATGTCTATCAAAAATTTAGAGTTGATTTTATATCCTAATTGTTATGAATCAGGGATTGTTTAACACAGCCCACCTACATAAAAGATTAAAGATTTGATTTAGAACCCTATCTATACAAAAATCTGAATCTTAAATGGAAAAGGAAAGGAATGTGGGAATTATATGGAATTTAAATTTTCTTGTATTATCTTGTAGGTCTCACAATGGTTCCTGAAACATATCAAACTACAGAAAATTTAGTAAAATCATGCGATATGTAATTAATTATAGTGATTAACGTGGTGAGATTATAAATAAATAAATGAGGCTCACATACCACTTTCCTTTAAGTTATTTCCTTTCATGTTATATTATTCTACTTCTGAGCCTCTGACATACTTACATATTTACATAAGCTTGAATATTTGAAACGTTATCAAATATGGCGATACGTAAATCTTATAAATTAATAAATCTGAAACAAACTTATGTGCTGGATTAGTAGATAACAAATTTTTTTTTAAATTCACAGCTGGAAGAAAATAAGTTTTATTTAAAAAGGATAATGATATATAATAATTAAAGGTATAATGATACTCGAACAAAATTTTTCCAAAACTTGCAATTAAAATAATCACATTTTACTGCAATTAATTTATACAAAAAAAGATCAAAAAAATAACAATTCGAAAAAGTAGCAAAAAAAAAATATTTGTACGAAAAGTTAAATTACATACAAAACCATTTTGCTGGCAAGATTTCTATTAAAAATAAACGAGTTTCGCGAATGAATTTTGATTGATGCAAAGCAAATTCGGATATTCGTAAATTTGCCAACAAAAAACCGAAGATATATCGGTAAAAAAATAAATTGTAGTAATGAACCGTCCCTACACTATTGATTTTAAAATACGAAATTTTTACATCTCGAGTAAATTAATACTCTAAAAAATATCACTGTAGCAATCATTATTTTGCAAGCCTAATTTGAAAAAAATTGAATCTTTCATAGAAAAAAAAAAGGAAGAAAAAGGTTATTGAAAACAAAAAAAAACGTTACACAGCAGTGTTTTCATTAACAAACGTTTCAATAACAAAGGGCGCTGAAAAAGAAAACAATGGTAGCCAGAAGGGCCACCAAAACAAAAATTTTCACTCCATGTAAACCCGAGTAATAAATCGTGAGTGAAATATCATTCTAAATTTCGCAACGCTAATTCATTAAATCTATTGTTAATATAAAAAATTCACAAAATCAAACGCGAAGAGTGCTTCATGATATTTAAGATAAAAATTAATTTAGAAAAATTAGTAAAAAAAAAAAAAAAATACAAAAAGGAGAAAAGAACAGAGAACTCCCGAAAACAATCATATTAAGATGTATCAATTACAAACGCAACACTAATAAATACTAATTTATGCACTCATATGAAAAAATACGCAACACTAATTGCGGAGAATTATGGGCAGCCATGGTCTAAGCTGCTGATGTGTGACCACCCATATGCAACTCTATAGCTGCAACAGGTGATTCTCAAGAACAAGACTACACTTCCACAGTCCCAGTGGAAGAAATTTGGGCATTACGTATTCGCAACACTACTTGAAAAAACGCGATCATGTTTCAACGCAACACTAACTATAAAGGTGGATAATTAAAAAAAAAGAAAACGCGATAAAGTAAAACGCAACGCTAATTCCTGAAATGAATTTAATAAAAATTCCTATATCTATATCTACAAAAAGCTATTTTTGAAAAATCCCGATTGGTCAAAATCGCAACACTATAAACTTAACCAAAAGCTAATAAAAATTTTCTGCAATTTCTAATATTACAAATTCTAATATTACTATTTAACAAGGAACACTAATTCATATAAAAATGTATGAAAAACAATCGCGATCTCATAATTCGCAACACTAAATCAAACGCGATCGTTACTTTATCGCAGCTCTAACTCAAACCGAAATCAACATTTGTTCGCAACTCTAATTAAAATCGCGATATCAGGTCTCCTTCGCAACTCTAATTAAAATCGCGAAATCTGGTCTCCTTCGCAACTCTAATTAAAATCGCGAAATCTGGTCTCCTTCGCAGCACTAATTCAAACCGTGATTAATGACTCGCAACGCTACTTGCAAAAATCGCGACTTGCCCAAAACAGGTTGATGGACCGATGTACATCGGCCAGGAAATAAACTACTACTACACGCTACTAAATAAGAGCATAGTGACAAAGTAGTAACAAGAATAATTCCCCATCCAAAGTATGGGGAATTATCCCTAGGCCGCCCTCTTCGTGACAGTTTGTCGGGCAGCCTCTGCTTCTTTCTTCGGGCGCGATGCCCGCTGAAACTTACATCTAGGCTCGAGATTTTCGAATCGCAAACCAAAAAATAACGCATAACCAAAAATATAAATCGCGGAAACCGACCAGAGTGCGCATGGACGAGCAACGATCGCAGTGATCGGCGTTCGTGCGCATGCGCAAAACCTCGAGCGTGCAAGCGTTCGTTTCGGGACCTAACCTCGCGACCACGACCGCGATGGCGACCAGAGGTAGCCAAATTTGAAAAAATCGATGGGTAAAGCTAGTGACGAATGGCAACACCCAATCGTGCCAACTTCACTGTCGATTATTCAAATTGTAATTCCTGAAACAGGTTGTGCACGCGGAAACGCGCCTACCCGACCAGAGACTGTGCCAACCTGCCCGGCCCTACCTACTTATAATTAACAGATACACCAGAGAGTATACTACCTGCCTACCTGACCCTATATTTAAAAAATGGCAAAAATCAAGCATTCCAACACACCACACTCCACGGTTCTCA